CATGATGATGCATTTTGTGCTTTTTCGGCGTCCTTATGAATTCAATTCTATTTCATTAAGGGATTCATGAATAAAATTGCATCGTTTACTAGTGGTACGGTTTGAGCCTCACAAAATATAAATTCTATTGATAACAGAGGACTCCCAAGATTAAAACTGATTTACAGGTGATACCTGGAAGTCCACAGATATAATTGAACAGATTGATGCTCAGATATAAGGAAATTTATGATTCTATGGAAGGTATCGTAATTCGAAGAACGTGGTCAGCTAAATGGAATCACATGAAGAATACCCCAAATAAATGTTTAAGCAGCACATACCCCATACGGCTTATTTAGAAACAAAATAATGACAAATGGAACTTGGGCAAGAAGAGGAAACTCGGCAGATTACAAAGACTTGAAATTGTTATTCATCTGAGTTTAATACATATTAAGCATACAAAGGATATATCATAGTATATACGGGATAGGGGGACTTTGGTGTTTCTTGAACTCACTTGAAAGATTCCGATGGATACTCGAAATAGGTCGATGGTTTTTCGGTCGGATTTTCTTACCTCTGCCTAGAGCCACAGGCAGAAAAGGAGTCCGGATGGATTCAAGAGAAGAAAAGCATGCCTAACCGAGTGGGAAGGGGAGTCATCCCATGTCGCACACTCACGGTGAATTGATGTGGATTCAAGGTTATTGCGTGAACGCAGCTGACGTTGAAACCACCTTGACCTGGCAACATTAATTCTATATTGAAACTAGCGAGTTCCCTCAAAATTCAGAATTTCAGAATTGCGTAATGACGTGCCCATTGCTCGCTGCTTACATTGCTTAGCCATTTGGAAGCGGTCGCGAACGACGCAAGGAGGCAGACGAGCGCGAGAGTTCTTCAAAGGTTGGGAAGTTTTCCCCGTATCGCAGTCGCATTGGCAGGTGCGACTGCGATTAGAAGTATCATCTATGGGAGACGGGAGCTAGCAAGGAAAGAAAAGTGATCTGCGAATCGTGACTGTCGTTTTCTGCATTTCCCTGTCTTGCTCTATTCATAAGAGCTGATGTACCATGCTAGTCGTTCATGATTGGGCCTCCCCCACATTTAGGTGGATCATTTCCCGTGGCTGCGCCGACACCGAGAAGTTGCGTTTCAGATCCGAGTGGGAAACACTCTCGCGAGTGTTGCAAGGTAATATGCTGCTTTCAAACTATGTTGAATGACACTTTTTTTATTTGATTCATGGGCACCATGCTCGATTGACACGTTTGACAAAATGACATCGGCGCGCTCAGCGTTGCACATGTAGCGACCTGTCGCGATCGCAACATGTTGCCATCGGAATGCATCTTCGCCCTGATTCCCCCGAATCTCATTCACGGATGACTGGAAGGAAATACTCCACTAACTTTTTTGTTTTCTCTGCTCCTCAGAGGCGGAATTTCTTTTCATTTAAATTCCATTTTGTTGCAATTCCAGAATTACATTTAAAAGCGATAACTTAGTACCTACGGCTTTTTCTCATCTGATTCTAGTTTTTTTTCGGTTCCAGACCCGTGCAGCCATGGTAAACGACCAAGTCCAAGACCAAATCGACTCCATCATTTGGCGCACCACCATGAAGTCAATTAGTCGCTGTCGATCGAGGAGGCATAAATATTTTTCATACCGCCGAAATTCCCAGATTAAAAAAAAAAGAAGAGGGTCACGAAATGAATTTCCTGAGATAGGTGGCATGTAAAGGAACATGCCATTCGAATAATTTTTTAGCACGCGGTTTGGACACTCGAATAATGCCCTAGGTTTTCTTTTCTAGTCTCGAGGATTGTGCTCTTGCAGCTTTCACAATTTTTCATCGATGATACGCTGAAGATTTCATCGGAGTTTCGCGCAATGCTCATGTGCCATAGAGATCCCAAAAATGGGGGGAAAAAAGTGGAATGCTTCAGCTAATGGGGCACGAACGGCCTTAAATACTTATTGCTCTCTGTTCTTAACTGTAATGAAGCATTGCGATAAACAAAATGAATGAAATTTGGTTGACACAGTTTTGACGACTATCGTACTAAACACTAAATGATGAAGCAAGCTCCTGTAGCAAAAGACGATGGTTTTGACAATTCCATTCTTAAATATTTTGTTTAAGCTGGTTATATCAGTACCGGTGAAAGGTAATTTCAATTGTTAATTTGACGGATTCAGAGAAAGGTCGAAAACGCCAAGGGGAATATAGTAATTTTGCATCTAGTATGGAAGACAATTTCCCATGTATCTCATTGGAACAGGTCATCATCTCATGCCCATCTTGGCGGTATCGACTCGTTGAACAGGCCGACTTGACGGAGCAGAAGGGCGCCGTGGCAAAGGGGAACTCCTCCGTCCTTCCGATTCCTCCGTTCACCTTGAATGGTACACTCATGGTGATGGATGTCTGATTCACTGTCCTCTCCTCGTTCTTGGGAATGGATCGTCATGATAGGCATGGAGTGGAGAATAATCTGGAGAAGTATAAACCTGACATGCATATGGAGGCGTCTAAAAAGGGAAAAGCAGCCATGACCGCTTCTTAGGATATTCAGGGTGTTCATGAAGGCATATGCGACGCCTACCCAGCCAACCCATGTGGGTGGCCCATTCCAGGTGTCGTTGGAATCTCACTTGCACCAAGGGCGTGGTTCAATAAAAGATCAGTCCCACTCTAAACCTGATAATATATTTAAAACTTTCAAAAGAGCTTTTGTAAAAAACAATAAAGCTTAGGCCTATAAAAGATAAATAGTTAAAAGGGGCCACTCAAAGGGGGGGTAACAACATATAACGAGCCAATAGCCACAAGGCCAAGGATATAAAATATAAAAAAGGGAAAAGGAAATAAAATACAGATAAAGAAGCGGCAAGGCAGCGGCGTGTAGGTGGGGAGAAGCAATCACAGTCCAATCACAGTCTCATCACAGTCTCATCACAGTCTCTTCACAGTCTCATCACAGTCTCATCACAGTCTCATCACAGTCCCACGCGTTGGAAGGAGGCGAATCCTGATCCAGGAGGCGAACGGCAATCACGGGGCTCCAAATCCGGTCCCGGTCAATGCAACACGACCCTCGCCGAGCCGACCTGCCCTCCGCCTGCACACGCAGCCCGCTTCTCCTGTCCCTTTTCCCGCTTCCGGCCATGCCGGCACTCCCCACAGTGTTGCCCCGCTCTCAGGGACCAAAAGCCACTCAAACACTACACATACCCAACCAAAAATGTTATATCAAAGCTCAGTAGGTAAATATTTTATTGACATTAAACCCTGCAAGTATAAACTCCCTTCCTGTGCATATTTTAAATAAGGTCTTCGTCACTAATTCCATATCAGTTCTGCATATCTCCACAGTCTTGCTGAAGACATTATTTCCAGCGGTACGAGACTGCTGCTCACCTGTTCGGTGATATTTCCTGTGTGATGCTGGTGAGGGCTTCCTTTCTGTAGTTCCTTATGTCTGTCACAGTATGCGGTCTCTTGGCATTGACCTTTTATTTGGTATACACCACAGACGAAGTCCATTGGTGTGAGCTCTGGATTGTTTCTTGGCCAGGGAACCCGCCCCCTCCTCCACACCATTGTCGGGTGAACGAGAGGGCCCAATCATAGAAAAGGTGCATGCCGAGAGACAGTGTGATGTGACAATCCTAAGGAACCGCATGCAGAAAGCATTCACCAGTCTCACGCAGGAAATGTTAGCGAAGACGTGGGCTTCATCATCGTTCCACTAGGAATAGAGTTCGCCAGCAAGACGGTGGGCATGTGGAGTGACGTGGTCATTCATAAAAGAGACCTTACCACTAAAAATATGCAGGTAGTGAGTTTATGTGGGATGGGTTTCATGGCAGGAAAGTACTTTGCTTCGGAATCTTGGGATAATTTTTTTTAGTCATACCTTAATGGATACAATGTATACCCATCGAAAATAGGATTCATGCATTCTAGTGCGCCATTATGAGCATAACTTGCGGCATATTTCCATGTTTGCACATTACGTTCGCATGATATGTGCTTTGCATATATGCATCAGCACGGGAAGCAGAGACATCGGCAGAAATTGCATCGAAATCTGACAATAAAAGATTTAAATGTTCGCGACAAAATCTTATTGCACGGATTCCCGAGCGAAAGCAACCGGCAGCACATAGGAACATTCCCTGAGACATATCATCAGACAAAGTGAAGGCATCACAGGGAGTCTCCTGTCTGCTGCTTCCCGGAAGAAGGAGGACTAAAAGTTATCCTATCTTTCGGGCAGCATTTGCAGTCTCGCAACAAACGTTTCGCATAAAAAATGTATTCCTCAAAGATGTAGAGGAGGAACAAGAATGGAGAAAGATAGAGGAAATATATTTCATGACATGAACCTGCACGTGCGCTGAAGAGCTTAAGGATGAAAAGTATTTAGATACAATGCATTTTTTTCAGATGGAATCATCAAGAATGATCAAGAGAGAACTTGGAAATTTCGCCTCTGAAACTTTTTGCAGACTCGTCGCCTCTAGATGAATGGTCAAAAGAAATCCTCTGAGTCAATTCCAAACGTAATGAGGAGGTCATTGCTTCGTGGCAATTATTTTTGCGGGTTTGTGTCAATTATTGCGCGGTCACGTCTGACAAATACAATCCGGAGAGACCGAAAAATATATACGGACGCATGGAAAAGATCTCTCGAAGGCGATTCAGGACTTCCACGCTGGAGGAAACATTGAAATTTGAGCCTCTTGGAATCAACACAATAAATACGAGTTTCTCCGAATTCCGGTACTCCATCGTCTCAATGCCTTCCCTACGGGGCCAAGATTCGGGAAAACGTATAGGCGTAAGTTAAAATGGCATATTTAATTTTTTCATTTAAATAGTTAGTACAGCTGGCGTTACGTTTAACTCAAAGGAAATATGGAATGCATCCCATCGGCCCTTTTCATCATATATTATCATAATTCAGGAAACCAGGTATATCCCTCGTGAATTTGACCTAAATCTATAACGAAGAAGCAGCCATTGCGTCCAGGTGGCTTCTAAGCGCAAGGATGAAGTGTCTGTGACTGGCCGCGGCGAACTTCTTCAAGATGCTTATAGGAACGAATGGGACTTGGAGACCCATGCCGTTAATCCACTGGAATACGCTTTTGTTCTTGTCCGTTTTGTGTGGGGAAAACGCATGCCCGCTCCCTAAGTGCTCCACGCTCCTGGAAAATGCACATATAGGGACGTAGCTATTTATTTTTTATTGGAAATTTGTAATTAATTAAGCGGGATATGGACCTGACGATCCCATCCTTCGGCGGGAGGCCGGGCCAGGTGACGTTGCTGAAGGGCCAGTAGATGGTCTCCCCGATCTTTCTATGGCAGACGAGAGAGACGAAATCCCTCGCGGCGATCCAGCCACTTAACATCGGCTCCGTCGTCTCGTGCACGATCCGACATTCTTCGGATATCGACTGCAAAGAAAGTCTTCGGAATGAGAAGAAAAGGGCGAGGCAATCGTAACTTGGATGGGAATGAGATGTCTAAACGAACCTGAACAAATTCGTTCTTGCTGAATTCCTTGTACCACTCGAAATTCTGTCCTGGAGCTCCCCAGGATTTTCTGAACGTCCATTCGTAGTCGTAATTCAGTACAGCCTAAAGGGTAGATAAATAATACATAATTTCCATCATCGTGGGCTAATCAGATTCATTATAACGATCACCGTCAGACAAATCCACATCAGGGACGATTCAGAATCAGACATTTTAGGTTTGGTAAGAGAAATCTCTACAGTGACATACGGAACTTATATTTGTGTTCAATTTCACCCAGCGCGCTTTACTGGAATGGAGTCTGATACCTCAGTGTAGAGGAAGTACATGCCGAGGCGCGGCTGGAACTGGGACCCGACCACGATCTCCTCCTCCGGGTAATCCTCCTCCAGATCCCAAGAGGCCGTTGAGTTGAGGTAAGACCGAAGTGCCTGAAGGGCCCTTTCTCCCTCTTGCGTGTATTCCCGTCTCACCTCCTCTGGCTGTCGCGAAGGGCCACCGAGTTACATATCAGGTTTGATCAAGGTGTATGCTATCTGCGAGGCAGATGCAATGTCAGGAGATCTTACCAGACCGTAGTCCATCGATTGATTTGGCAGGTATTCGTTCCCGACTGTAAAAAAGGCAGGTGAAAAACAAGACACGGTTGGGAACGGGAGGCTTTATCATTATCAATGCACTACGCTTACAGTCCTAATGATCATATATTTTACCAATATAGTTTTGGGCATCTATGCAGATCGGAAGAAATGGCCTCATCGGAGATTGATGGAGCTTTTATGGCTCGCAGGGTAGCTGAAGCGAAAATCGATCACAATCGTCTTCCTTAGTCTTCATTAGGCAAGTTGTGAAAGTTAGAGGGTGATGGAAAGCGTAACATTTGGTGACGGCACAAACATTCCCCGGGACACTAAAAAATTGTACATTTTACAACTTTCAAGTCTCTAGAGCAATACTGATTCGAGATGGCAGCATTGGCGTTTTAAAATCCAGTGTTAAATGAGCGTTGAAGATCGTCACCACATTTCAATCAACATTGCCTCAATGTTAAAATGAGACATGTGACATGTATCAACAACATCCTAACATACAGTGCACATGCGCCAATCAAATGGCGGATGGAGATGAATGCTGATGACTTGATTGCTGATGTATTCGGTGAATCATCAGCAATATCTCAACCCCTTCAGTATTGAAAATAGGGATGTTCCTCTCTCGTATCAGCATAGATTCTACCTGGATCAGAGAGAGAAAGAGGGGGAGAGAGCTCCTGGTCTCACGAAAGAAAGGAAACAGCAGGGAAATTGCATCCAAAGAAAATATGGGTAGCAATCTCTCCAAGAATCCTTCTGCGTGACTTCCAGAATCACTTTTCAGATTTTTGTCGGATACATGCAGAGGGAGATCTCGCTGTGTCACGTCATCTCGTGAACTTCTTTATTTCCGCTCTTAGGTCCACGATTACATTCTGACATAATTGGGTTGGGTTGTCTCGTTCCTGGAATTCAAATAAATTCCTCGCTGTCGTCTGGGGAAAAAATATCAAGTTTTGTTCCGAAATTACTGGTGACGCCTAAAGATTGCATATACAGGTTGGGCTCAAAAAATAAAGCTGTCATTTTTTTAATCAGTCGTATATGAATCTGATTGTGAGTTCCCAATTCTGATGAAATTTTGTAGGCCTTCAGAATGACCCAATTAGGGTTTGCAACTGAATTTCATTCTTCTGACTCTAAAACTCTAGGAGAGGTAATTATTTTCTAAAGACCCGCCACAAATGGTGCTGTCGAAAATATATATATGAATTTGAGTTCTGCATTCATGAAATACATTATCCCCAGCCACACTAAGCTAAGTTGGTTTACATGTTAGGCTAGGCTAATGCAAACTTACTTAATAAATGTAATAAACTTATTAAATACACATTAAAAATGGCCTAGAGAAGCTCACCGAATATAACGTTGGATTTCAAAATTTATAAATAAGCGAACATTTTCAGGTGAAAGTGCATTGTCATAATTATCTAATATGAGTGACAAGATCATGCTCTTATTAAAAACTTGGGCCTTGAAAAGGGATATGGTGGAAGAAAAATGATGAGTAAACTCCCAAACAAATATAGGTTAAGGAGTGGGCTTTAATATGTAATCCAAAAAATTGATGAGTCTGGTGACGAAACTTTTAGGTTCACATTTAAAAAGAAACACTATTTTGCGATCTAAAGCAAATCTAATACCATTCTCACATTTTTTAATTTTGATTTTGAACTCGGCACAAACCCAAATTGAGTCACCCTATAGGTCTACCAAAATTTCATAAGAATTGGCTGGCAATAACCAGATTGACAACTCACCAAAAATTATAGCCTTGATTTTTTTGGGGGCCCAAACTGCATATAACTCCCCGTGTTGGCGATTGGTCGCCATCTCACTTCGGGATCTGAAAGCCTTCTTTGCTCGAATGTCTCGCGAGATGTCTCGCCTGTCCTTGTTCATGCAATGTCGACCGAGCAATGCCATCGCAATGTTTATATTTTCAACATCGCGGTGAAGTTGACTATGCCTCATCAGCACCAATATCCCATCAACATCGGCAACTACAGCTCAACATTGAGAAAATTGTTTCGTAGACTGGGTTGAAGCATACGCCCTTGCGATCTACGCCATCTGGGCAGGTTGCTCTCAAAAAGTTAAGAAAATGTGATTCATGATTAGTCGAAATTTGTACATGTAATGTGATAGGTTTAGGACTTGTATTTATAAATTTAGATTTTAACATGTAGGAAATTTAGGTCCAAAATAACTTTTAGAAAGTCTTGTAAGTGGCCTGACACTAAACATTTCAAGTAGGTTCATGCAGATCGTCGCTGAGACTACATATTTTCTGGAACAGCTCCTTGATCCTGTTGTCCAGGGCAGATACATTAAATAAGGGGCATGAGGTCCTGCTCCTCCCTTCCCCCTCCCGCCGAACTGACCTTGCACCTCCCTGCCGCTCATGAAAGCGAGATCCCGGACGAAGAGCATGGTGGTGACGAGAAGGTCTTGGACGAAGAATCCCATCGCACTGGCCCCGGCCAAGATCATTCTCGGTTCTGGAAGATGGGCCAGCGTCGCTTCCGTGGTCATCTCTAGTGGAAGGGATCCGAGAATGTCCCTGTTGAACGTGGCAAGGCAGGTTATCCTGCTTTCCAAATGACTTATAAATAATAGAGCTCATGCGCCATTCGAAACTGGCATTTGCGCTGCTATATATAATTAAGTTTTGTGGAAAGGTAAATTATTTTTTGAATCTTTGAAGTCGTTATGAGTGATTCAGGATTGCAACGGTTTCAGCGACGCCGTTCACTGCTCACGACGGTCATTCAATCTTTCTTAACCTAAACATGACGTGCTTTTTCTCATCTTTCTCCTCTCGCAGAAGCCACTTCAGCTTCACCTATAAATTTTCCTATTTTTCCTCACTTGACGCGATCGCCTGATTCAGTGTCGAGAATGACAGAGGAAAAACCTCCTGCGAACATGTCTTCCCATCGACATCCACCCGCTTGGAGACCAAGCCTCTAAACGTGGAAGCAGTTCCCGTGGAAACCCTGAGGGAAACGGCTCGTTTGAGCAGTCTCTGTCTTGGAACCATCTAGAATATTAGCATAAAAAAGTATGCAATCCAACAGTAGAATGGCATCAACCTGGCCATACCCGACCTGTTCGTTCCCAAATCCGAGCTGAAACTACATACTCGTTTCGTGTTCTACCGTCTGCCCGTCCCAAAGAAGCGATTGACCTATATTGTCTGAAATAGACTGCCTGACTATATTCACCAATTTATTGAAAGGCTCTCCTATCCTCCAGTGCAGATACTCGCCCTTCTAGAACGACTGGCAATCCCGTAGCGGAGTCTTCGCATTGAGGAGTCGCTCCATCCATCCACACACTTCCCTCCCCCCCCCTTCAGTGCAAGTCAGACCCCAGGGGGGTATCTGGCAAGAACGACTCTGATGATTTCGGGATCCTGGCTCTCCGACCCCCGTCGGGACTGCGCGGGTCTCTTTTATCGTCTTTTCGTCTCTCCTCTTGGCTTTAGTCCCTACGTCCGTGGGATAGGAACATCAGACACTCACACCCAGAAGTTCTGTTCTCTCCATGAAATTTCAAACCCTCCAAATAAATACTAGGGTATTTCCATCCCAAATTACCCAATGAAGAAATAGGTAACGTCTTCAATTCCCGAAATTATTTTTTTTTCTGCAATAAGTATTTGTAATAGGAGTCACTTCCATTCTTTCCAGTTTTAGCGGAATGGGCTTCAGAATTTTCCTTCATTTTGAAGGAGGAGCTCATTCTGTCTAAAGAAGTGTTCCTTGAGCGTCTCATATCAATACAGGTAGTAATGATGATGCCATTTGTGCAGGTACAGCGTCCTCATGAATTTGACGGCCATTTCTAAGGTTCGAATAATTCAACAGTATAGTACAATATGGTTTAGACCACACAATAGGTAATCTCCCAACAGAACAGAGGATTATCGAGATGGAAACGAAAATTCAGGCAGTATTTAAAAGTCCATGAATGCTATTGCCCAGGCAGAGGCTCATATCTTTGGAAATGCATGTTTGCATCGAATATATCATAGCTCGAAAATATGGTCTATAGTGTGGAATCACGGGAAGAACACTGCAATTGCCTTCCTGAAAAATCCTATAGGATCCTATAAGAATCCTATGAGATTTGTCTTTCGAAAACAGGATATTTTCGTAAGGGTTAGCTGTTGACAAAACGGTGCATTTAGACAAGTCGCCCATACAGGTTGCTCGTATGGCAACTCGATGACCGATGAAACTTTGGCAAGAATGGGAACAGCAGAATAAGTTGTGAAGATTTCGTCTCCTTTCTCATTTGAATTAAATATTTATGCGGCATATATATATTAGTATTCGCAAGAAAAAGAGACTTCGATGTTCCTGAAAATCCCGCGTAAACTCACTTGAGCGACTCCGATGAAAATTCGAGAAACCCCTGATGGGTCGACGGTTTTTGGGAGCACTTTCTTATCTCTAAGTCGAGTCTTCGGTGGATGAGGATCTGGATTCGAGAGGAAAAAACGCATGCAGAACAGAAACGGAAAGTGGAATGAGCTGGGTCAGTCCGGCAATCCGACTGCAGAATCAGACCGGTGACATCGCGGCGCGGACAGGAGAATGTGGAAGGGTCTCGATGCGGCGTCACGCCGACGAGTGAAGCTTCCTGGGAACTCCAGCTCATTTTTTTAACCGTTTCCCTGGCGCGGGGGGGTTTTACGTCCAGCGAAAGCTCAATCTCTGCCTGGCATGGACGTACTTTGGGGTCTTGTGGAGGACTCTATTCTGGATGCTCTTGACATTTAGCAGAAAAGTTATCATCCGCGAGAACTGGGCAATATATCGATAAAAAGTGTCTATTCATCCCAGGCATATATATTGGACGTATGTTTTCACTGTCAACAACAGAAAAGGACAAACGAAACAGAACTTTGATTGCAACCCTTCCCTATATCCGTGAAGAGGGCTAGTGTGGTAACTGAGGCAAAATTTCTGGAGAAGTAGCAGCGGAAAGTGATAGCGACAGCAATGAAATGATCCCTGAGATCTTTGGTGATGAGGACATAGAACTTCGTAGCCCATTGCAGTTGATTGATGAAATGACAGCGATCAGATATGGCAGCAGAACCACGTAATTAATGGACAAGATAAGACATAGTCCCTATCGTAGGAGAATTTAGATGTGACAATGGGATGAACCAATACCACAATCCAATGTCCCGTTTTTGCGGCTAAACATTTTTCGACTGTGAAATTTGTTAAACTCCTTGTGATGGTGACGAACTGGTATGCCAGACAGTACCTGTGAAACCATCAGCTGTCTTCCTCGCATAGTGACAGAAATGACAGAGAAGTGGATGGAGATGAAATGTGGACATTCCGAGGCATTGTTTTCATGACAGGCATTGATAAACGACCCGAAATTGAGGACTACTGGTCGACGATTAGACGATTAGTTAAATTCTACAGGGGAAGTTAGCATGGAAGAAAGGTGGGTGATCGTCGTCTGGGTCAAAGGCGAGGTATGCGCTATTGCTCTCTACCCCTCTCTGCGGAAATGATGCGGCTCGCAGTGATATCTGTCTTTTAGCGTCCAGGATGCTTGGAGTTCCTGGAGAAATTGGATGTCATCCTCCTTCCTCGCCGTGGATTCTCAGCGACTCTCGTCTCTTGTGACGACAAAAGTTTTTGGTTTGTCAAGGGGCGCAGGTCCTTTTACCATTTTTCAAGCTTTCCATTTGTTGTCGCCCTGACATGGCACAACATTTTGGCAATGAGTGGGATACTTCATGAAGCCCAAGTCCCGTCTATAAACCCAGACACCAGATCCAAATCTCCACAATCGACCTCCAACTGGGTGAACCGAACTGATGTCTAGATGGCAAGATGTCAAGATGGCAAGATGGCAAGATGGCAAGATGTCAAGATGGCAAGATGTCAAGATGGCAAGATGTCAAGATGGCAAGATGTCAAGATGGCAAGATGTCAAGATGGCAAGATGTGCTGAAACGATAACGACATGATATTTCCGAGTGGGAAGGTGTAGGAGCAACGCTTACCCATTGCTATGCGGCGAGGCAGCTCAGGGTAAATAAGAGAGAGTGCAATTATTCGTAAGGGCTAAGCTCCAATCACGCAGGCCGTACCTCATGGCATAACTCATGCGAAGTGCCCGAGAGATGATGATATCCTGTCCTGTGGGAATATCTGCACGAACAGATATTCCCACGGACCAGCATATCCAGCCATATAGATTTTTTGTGCATAGCTGTTGCTTCGATTCGGATCAAATCGCTCAATCTGGTATGTGCCATTTGACATAAGTGTCACGTCGCGTCGTGGCCTCGAAGATTCCGCAAAATCAACACGTAAGGAGGATACCAAGGACATGGAGGACACCAAGAGGTTTAACATCAAAATATCAGAAAATGAAAAATGAAATTCATTCATACCCTAATAAAGTAATGTCTGCATTATATTATAAATAATGCAATCACAGGAAGCTTCATGGAAAAAAAATAACCCACGCATTGGATACCTGCCAAGCCGTATCGATTCTCGTGGAATTATCATTCTGGAAGAAGCCCACAGCTCCAACTATTTTCCGCAGAAATAAATTCCGGGATGAGTCTCTTTTCGAAGGAAAAAAATCATGAAATGCAGAAATACCTTACCAAAACTATGAATCCGCAGTTTCCATCTTAGTTCGAAAAGAAAAAAAGGGGGAAAATTCCAATTCCACTTCTTTTGTGACCCATCAACGCAAGAAGAGAGCTTCAGAACGAAAATATGTTGGTTTTCGCGGGTGAGGACCCTCGGGACCTCGACTCCTGGACGACAGGTACTTCCTCAGACCGAGGACGTACTGCCGGCACGCTTCGACGCTGAACTTGAGCATGATATTCCTCGGCACGAGCGGGGTCTTCAAGTCCGTCGTCATGACCCAGCGCATGAGGGTCCGAGTCGTCTTCCGTTCCGGGTCGGGCAGCAAGGACATGCCGCTGCCGGGATGCATCTCTGCCCTGATCGCCGGAGAAAAGGGCAAGACAGCGTTTGGGTCTCATTAACGCGGCAGATTCTCATGCAGAAAATGTTCAATCAAATTTTTAGAGTGCTTTTTCGACACTTCAAAACTACCTAATTTTTTTTAAAATTAATTATGTTCAAATTGTTGCGATTGCAGAATTTATTTTTAAAATGCTAACATAGCTTTTATTAAATGTTCTCACCTCACTCTCGTCTCTCTTGGCTCTAGCCCCGGCCACTCCGTGCTGCTTAGGGAAACGAAATACGCGTCTTGCTCCTGCCGGCCGTGGGAGAGAATGACCATGTCTCGACTGGCAAAGAGTCCCAGGAGTTTCGACTCCATCTCTTGATACACAATCCAGCAAAGCTCCGTCAGCCGCTGCCGATCGGGAGTTTAATTCATCCAAATGGAATATGACTTTCTTGGGACAGAGAAAGGAAATGAAGGCGAAATTCGTGAGCGCGTATCGAGAGCATAGTTCGAATGTCGCATGCAAAAATTAAATGATTATTTAATTATTTCGATTAAGTTAGCTGTGACTTCTGAACCATATCCGCGGCAATCTCCTGGAGAAATCTCCAGTGTGAAGGAACAAATATGGGACAAAACATACGTCCCTCAGCTCAGGATAGCTGGCATAAAGCAAAACTGAAAATAAATATTTTCGTTCAAGAAAGCTTCACCTATTGGAAAATATAACATTCTAGTGCGATTCCCCCTTACTACACGCCCCACCCTCCCCGTCGCGACGAACTTGACACAATTCTTAAAGGATTAATGATCATAGGCTGTAAAAAAGGAAAACCCGAAAACATAACGGTTCTTAAGTGAAACCATTTTAGAACCATTTTGGTGAAAGAGATTAAACTGGAGCTATCACGTCCTGATGGCGCTGATTATGAATGGCACGGTCTGAGACATTCATATGATCACTCTCACTAGTAGCTAGTATTTTTATTATCATTATGTGAAAATGTGGTTCTAGGAATCACAAAACATAGACTTATGTCGAACCCCTTCCTTAACAGTTCATCGAGGTACCGAGTTTATTATGTCATTTTGTCAAATAGTTTTTGAAGTGAGATTAAAACCATATCAATTGGGTTCTCGATCACCGGAAACCGAAAGCGTAGAAGCATCTAAGGGTTTTAGTCAGAAGCATTTCTTTCTACAGTGTATAGCCAAAACAAATTCTGTTTGACCGTTGTGCTTTACTTTAGGTGTTTTACTGTAATACCAGCCGCATCGTGGCTTCATGGACGCTTTGCTGGAAATCCACTTTTGAGTGTTCGAATGCCACAACTGGCGAAGGCCCAGCCGGTCTCAACGTGAATGACCCTCCGAAAGCCCCGAATTAGGACTCACCTGGACGATCTTGAATTCCTTGACGTCGGGGTTCCAGTCGGCAGTCGCTACCAACACGTGCTCTCGCAGGTCTCGGATCACCCAGTCTGACTCGAAATCCAGCAGAGCCTGCAGAGACAGTGACGTAAGGCGAGGGAAACATAACGCCTTCATTTCCATTTCCCCCAATTTGATTTTTTTACATATTAATGGGCGAGTTTTAGCCATTCTAGAAACAACATAGCAGCACGTCTCGCTTGCAATTCGATAAGATGCCATGAGGCATTTCAACGTGAACAACTCAATGCACAAATCACCAGGTTCCTTTCAAAAAATATTAAACAATTGTTCACGTTTGTGGGAATTAGAAGCTGAAATCCCCAAGCAGCATGTTTATGTCAATACTAGCGAGTTTGTTTGCCCTTCGGGCAGAAAATACTCGCTATGGTCGCGCCTTCGGCGCTCTATTACCATGGATAGTGATTAATAGATTAATTTTTTTGCGAAATGTATTAATGTAAACGTGTTAAAGTACGTCCCCAGTGAAATACGTGACACGTATGATCAAAAGTCTTTATTTTTATCAAAACCATAACCTCTATGATTCTATGTGTGCCTAACTTGAAATCTTTTCTTAAGTCCCTTTTTATAAAGGTGAAGAATACATTTTGAAATACTTCCCTCCGCTACGCTAAGGAGACATATTTCAAAATTAGGATTTTTCCTCTATTCAGCCATCAAACAGGTACTTCTGAGGAAAGTTTATATTTTCTGTCTTTGTTTCCTTGGATAAAAAAAAAAATTGGAAAATGGGACTGAAAAAAGTGCCTCCATGGGTTTTAACAATTTTTTTCTTTTCCTTTTGAAATGTAGACTCAGGGAACTCCATGCCACCCAGTTTCAGCCTAATACGTTTCCCCTTTTTGCTGGCAGAAAAAATGTAATTGGAAAAGCGACCCACCCAAAAGTTGTGCTCAGAGGAGACGCACAAAAAAAGTTGAATTTTTCCTTAAAGCAACATCACGTCAGTGAGGCGTGCGGCAGCAACTTTTCTATTTCTGCCCGCTTCGGTATATAAAAAATTATTTTAAAACGATAAGTCCTCAAGAAACATGAACCCCAAATCTATTTTGGAAATTTGACGATTGACATTTGAGCTCAGTGCGTCAATGGTCACGTTCTTCCAAAGTTTCAGCTTTCAAGGTGTCTCCGTTTGAAGCAAAGATAACTATTTGAAAATATGTTCCCCGAAAAGGCGTGCCCCTATGGCATGCATAACCAAAAGGAGAACTTCTCCTGAATGATGAATGAATCTTCTAATGAGCTTGCGAATGGCTTTTTATGTCAGTCAGTCAGCTACTCACGATCGTCCATATGTAATAAAAGTCGAATTTTTTTCTTTACGCTGGAATTGATATGGTACTTTTTTGCCAACTTTTTTAACTTTCAACCCTCTGTTTTGCTGGATTAGAAAATTCGAGAAAATACGCCATATGCAAAGCATGTGCCCTGAGCCATTTTAACCGAAACGTACCTTTTTTTTGCCGAAATCCACCCTCAGGGAACTACATGCCCACGACGTTTCAATATTATACGTTTGCCCTTTTCGCTGGTGAAAAAGCATGTTCAGAATAGCCGACGCACCCAAAAGCTATGCCCGGAGGGGATGCATCATGAAAGCTGAATACTTCCTCAGCTCAGTAATATCCTGTCAATTATACGTGTGCCAAGTTTCACCTTTCCATTTTCGTTCAATTCGCCACAACATTTTTTTTCTTCAAAATATCGCACCTCGAAAAATTCCCCTAGGGGATGTATCAAGACTTAACTTTTTTTAATTACTTGTCTCAGTAGTCACATTCATGCAAAGTGTGGTCTTTCCACGTTCATCAGTTTAATTGATGCCAAAAAATTAGCTGAAAACATATAACTTTGAAATTTGTGCCCCCAGGGCATTTACTTTTAAAGACTGAATTTTTCTGCAGCATCCCAATACGTAGTTATGTACCAAGTTTCATCTTTCCACACTAGCTGAATACGTCTGGACAAAGAAAATACTTGAAAACGCTGGCTCAGAAAAATATGCCCCAAGGGCATCGATCTAAAATTTTTAATTTTTCCTAAACTCATTGTCTCGGTAGGCATGTCCACGCCAAGTTTCAGCTTTCCATGTCTCTCCGTTTTACTCAAGCAAAAATAATGTTATGGTGGGGGAATGAGTAACGGGACATGGGAGGCAAAAAAAGCCAAAAGGGAGACATGGAATGTCCGGGAATTGAACCCGGACCTTCTGATTGCCAGTTAGATATGCTACTACTACACCACCGAACCCAGCAGAACCTGTTGTCTCTCAGAATGCCATCCTAACCTGTCACAACATATAGTTAAGAAAAACGTTTCCCCCGAAAATTTGTACCCCATGGCATGTACCTCGTACTTCCAAAGTGGGATTTTTCTGAACTCTGTATCCCAAAGGTACATGTGTACCAAGTTTCAGATTTCTAACCCTTCTAGAACATGGTTAGAATTAGCGTCAGTCAGTCAGTCAAATCATCTATGTATATTAGATGTAAAATTAATGCAATTTTATTGTCCATTTTACATCCATTTTAAGGAAACTTTCATTAAAATATTGTCACTTCTGTGATAAGCAAACGGTGATTTAAAATTGAAGAGGATTTTTAAAATAAAATTAACATTCCCGTTTATACACAATTAGCATGTTCCTATTACTTGTATGTAAAATTGATGTTAATTTTAGTCCAACATTCATGAGAATTTTCATAATAAGTAAATCACCAGCTATGAAGGGAATTAAAGCCGCCATAACTTTTCCGATTTGTCTCCACATCTTCGAGCTCTAGTGTACTCGGAAGGGTACTCAAGATGACCTGCTCTTCTCTTCCGTACATAACACGGAACTCTAGGAGCAGGAACATTGCTTTAATATACACTATCTTGTATACAGTAGAGGATAAAAGTTGTGGTTTGAGAGGAGTCTTGCATTATACTCTTCCCTACTCCCGTACAATCTTGTATTCCCATACTTAACTTCAACATGTAATAATTCCGTGAGTCATTTTTTGTAATATAAACCTATTTCCACATTTTCATCATATATGCTTATAAATTGCACAAGAAGAAGAGGAAAGAGGGGAGGAAAACCGTATACTATATCAGCCAATCTGGTACATGATTGCATTTGTAGGGTGCAGGGAACCTGGGTTCCATCTAGTGAGGACTCTTGGTATTGAAACTGCGGGAGAGTCAGCTGAAGTTTCATTTGGATCGTGTGGTGTTGATTTTGCATAAACTTTATATCATGTACTTCGTATCAGGTGAAGCCATGTCCTTGTATGCAACACACATCCACTTTTGGTGATGTAAATAGAAAAATGCAGATTTTATATGAACGTGTTATCATTTGCATGACAATAGCAAGAAATTGACAATGTTCGCAAAAAATTGATACCTATTTTACGCAAACATGCTGCTTGGGTTAGGTGGACACCAGTGAAATCTATTCGAAAACGTCACCAATGCATGCCCTTTTATTAAATATACTAATTATAGCGGTTTACCCAACACGGTAACCCAGAATGGGCTCTCATCCACTTGAAGGCATTTTCGAAATGAAATTTATTTTCATCGGACTTGCCTCCCTTTGACTTCATTTTTTTTTCGACACAGATAGATGAGTTCTTCGCATTTTTTATGAGTACAGTATGCCTTAGTGATAAAATATATGCCTGATGAGTTAAGAATGACTCTTTTTTATTAGGACACTTATCCAATATGAAAGGAGGCTTCAACATATCGATGCGAATTTTAATAGTTTCAATAATTTTAAATATTTTCATAAAAATAAACATGTCATGTTACCCCCCATACAAAGCTTCACTCTGCATTAGATTGAGCTCAATATTCGGTGATTAAGTCATAGCTTAAACGCCGATTGAAATTTCCAGACTGAAGAAAACTAGAAATATTGCGCTCGAGAATGGAAACATAATTGTATCATCAGATCGGCAGCAAAAAATTTACTGCAGCAGCGGCATAGGCTGGTTACGGGTGACGTCACGGGGACCGCAGGGAGCACGTGCTGTTTCCAAACACTCCTGAGTAGGGCTGTGTTCTCCAATGTGTTGCCTTTATTTTCTCTCTGGCTCCACGAGCCCTGTGCCTTCTTCAGCAAATGCAGACTTTTTTGCCGATGATATTTCGATTCTTAAGAGATGTGAACTAGCATATGAATCAAAAGACGTTCACAAATTCATTCATGTAGGAACGCTGGGAACTACGCACGACAACGTTTTTGCCAGTAAGGAGAATGTTACCTATTCAGTCGAGGTGAGGGAAAATCTCGCAACGTTGGCCCTAAGAGCATGGAAATTTACTTAAGCCTGAATCCTAGGCCTATTCATAATAGGCCTGGGCTATCCGTAGACAGAGTTTAATTTTGAAAAGCATAACGTCAGGCCTAGACCCAACATTGGACTTCCCATACCTGATGGATGAATGATTTATTGTCCACGTTAGTAGGCTATACAGGAGCCTAACTGATAGCTCAATTGCTTTGTTTGCAGGAGAGGCGTCGAACATGTTAGGAAGGATGAACAGCAAGTACCTCGGAGTGTCTTATCCATAAACAATTTAACAATTTAATGCATTTCAGATATGGTAAGACAATATATAAAACTGTGCAAAGGAAACGGGAAAAAAGAATACAAAGAAGTAAAGAAGTGGGAAGGGCCACATAACCCTATGCAGGGGAAATGTGTATAAATGTGCAGGGAAAGAGAAAAAAATCTGTGTGGTGTGTCCAGCAGAGGGGAGCGAAAAAAACACGAATAGAGCATAATAAAAGTGATGGGATTTGGTGGCGAAGTAGTTATAGTAGGTATTGTGCTAGTAAGCATTCTTTGAGGTCAGTTTTAAATCTAGGTAGAGTGGGGGAGCACCTTAATTGATTAAGATGATGGGAATTCCAATGCTTGATGCCCCTTTACTTGAGGTTTTTCTGGGATTTTTTGTGAAGGCTTGTGAGAGGCATGACTTCATGGATTTGAGGGAGTGGAGATAGTGTGTGGTATTTCCTGGTTGGGAGAGAGCGAGATTGGGAGAGGTAACTGGGAGCAATTTAGGTAGAGATTTTGTATATACAGTAAGCTCTTTGTTTGTTCAGGATTAATGATAAGTGTGTTTCAGGGGTTCATTCAGCAAGTTGGTCAAGGTTTGACAGATGATTCGGAGAGATTTTATCCAGGTTTGCAGATGAGAAATATAGGGTTACATCATTCTGCATAGAGGCCAATTGTGCAGTTTGTGATATCTGGAGGAAGGTCATTAATGTATGAGATAAATTAGAGGAGACCAAGAACAGAACCTTAGGGGACATCAATGAAGAAGGTAGGGTGGATTGCTGAAGATCTGTTTCCCAATTTGATGAAGGGAAACCAGCCCCAGAGATAGCTTTTAAAAAGTTGCATTACTGAGGGAGATATGTTATAATGAGGTAATTTAGCTAGGAGCCTGTCATGGGGGACAGAGTCAAATCCTTTTGAGAGGTCAAGGATTACTGCATCAGTTAGGTTTCCATTGACCATGTTTCTTAACACATCATCACAGAATTTGGCGTGGTCTGAAGCCATATTGGTTGGGATGCAGGAGGCTTAAATCAGAGAGTGCGGAATAGGTGGAGCTGGCAATGTGATGCTCAAGTATTTTAGAAACGACTGGAAAGATTGAGGTAGGGCTGTAGTTGGTGGGATCTTGCATGTTGTCTTTCTTATGGAGTGGAATTAACCTAGCAATTATGAACCATTGTAGGACAGTGGAATGCCGAATGAATATATTTAGAAGTTGGGTAAGAGTTGTTATAAAGACATGCGAGATACTGCAGAGGTTGAGCATCTGATGTGAGACTGGGAGGATATGGAGAAACTCCTGCACTTTCAAAGATCTTCTGCAGCGAGACTAGAGCTAGGCCTAGGAAAGGCCTGATTCCATTTCTTCTTTCGCCTGGCATCGCGAGGGAATTGACTGAAGCTGCAACTGATCTACAATGGTGCTTACAACCAGATAAAATTACAAGAACTGCGCAATTTCGTCTAACGGGAAAAGACATTGCAAATATCCGCCAACCCACGTTGAAACAGATTGGATGTTTGGAAACACCGCCATGCTCTGACGTCACCAAATACGTCATCCCGTAACCAGCCTATTCCGGTAGTCTCCCGAAAGGAGAGAGGACCTGCCGCAGGGCCGCGCAGTCACCGCCGGCAGAAGAGATGCTCCATACCCTGGAGGTCGTTCGCCTCACGTCGGAGTAGCGGTGGCCCACTTCTCGATGTTTGCTGCAATAAGCTAAGAAATGCGGTTGTGGCCAAGACTATCGCCTCACCGTGAGGGTCCCATATGCTTGGCAGCAATTGCAACTCATTAAACGTGGCATGATATGTTCAAATGAAGATCCTTTGTCGCTTCATGCATCATCCGTGTTGAGAACCATTGATGAATATACATTTTTACTATGAACATCTTTTGCAGTAACTTCGGAAAATTGTTATGCGATGTCATCGCAGTAAGTCATTTTAGGAAGAGCATACAAGCAGTCGAAATATGCATTTTTTTGTTGTCAAGACATATAATAGTGGTTTTCTTCCCTAATATTCTAATAAATATATCATTTTAGTACCTGTATTTTAGGTGAATATTGATGGAATTTTAACAAAGATGGAGAAAAGAGAGAGAATACCTCAGTGAAGATGAGATATGTCATCGTCTCCTGATCATATGTGGACTTGACGGTGATTCCTTCCTCGCCATAATCCCTTCCCAGAGCCCAGTCCTTCCTCTCCAGGTTGAAGCGGAACTTCTCCAGCGCCCTTTCCCCTTCGCTCTCGCATTTCTCCTCCCCAGGCTGGAAAATGCAGAGTGGTACTTATTCCTCGCTTCAATTACGCACCTATCTACAGATGAAAGCAAATGTAAAATATTTGCCTGCTGGAAGGACCGTTCAGGAGGCATTTTTTTTGGCCAACTTGGTGAAATTCCAGTAATGAAGCCAATGGAGAAGAGACTAGTAACGCAGCTCAGATGATTCTGGCATGGAAGGCTAAATCTATCTTGAAAATGCATCCTTCGTTATCACGATATCGAGACAATGGTAAATAAGATCGAATGGCATTAAATGATATCATCAACCTCGTTCCGTTAAACACGTCCACAAATAAACGACAGTGCATCCATGTACGTTAATGTACATCAGTGTGCGAGGTGCATTGCTTAAATACGTTGGAGAAATTCAAGTAATTGAGGAATACACTTCCTTTACATTTCGATGCTTAGGACGATTATTTAGAGTGAATGCAATCAAATGCCGAAGTGCAAGGTGAAGGGAGCATTCACTTTCACAAGTTGACCTTGTGCTGTCGCTCGTGCCAATTTGTATGGCATTCTTAAGTTGAGGCATTCGTTGCCACCACATCTGCTCCTATTGGAAACTCATGGAGCCGAGACTCCATCGATTGCCTTCGACGACTCTGCATCGGCTTCCTGGAAAATACTGGTGAACTACCGGGTGCGAGATCGGTCGAGTGCCATTGTGCGACCGTGAAAGGGTAGGGAACCTAAAGAAGAGCTCGTAGAAGCTCTTGTGCTGTATTTCTTCATTGCAGTTCGACGTTTTGGTGCTAGAACTCCATCAATTCGTTCCGCCTGGGTTCTTTTCAGTCGATTAGGATAATGAAAGGGCTGAATATGAAATGTCGTCGAGTCTCGGAGACTCACCTGCGCAACGGTGGAGTTGACTGGTGGCAGATGATCGTGCGAGAGAGTGACGTCTTGGATGAGGTGCATGGTCTTCAGGAACAGCTCGAGAATGAATAGCGTCTTCATCTCGCCGGTCGCACGGTTCCCTCTATAAAGGGAAATGACGAAGCTTTGAAACTGTTCTTCGCCTCGGAAAAGAGACTACACTAAGTCGAATCCACCCTCGCGTCTCCATTGCTTCGGCGAATTTTAACTCAAAAGTAAAAAAGCAATGGTTTCTCAGATGATCCATGCTACTAATAGAGGTTTCGTGATTTGGAACTCAACAATCAGACGTATTCCCTCAAGCGACAGGGGTTTTCTCGCTTGGATAAATCAGCTTCTATCCTTGAAGGAAAAGCGAGTAGGCGAAAGGCCTTCAACCGATGTGTTTGGAATCTCAAAAGGGGGACTCTAATTCGAAGTTTAAGTGAGGGAATTTGTTCATATTCTGCCACAAAACTTTGATTCGAATAGACAGGATAGCTTTTTTTTAAAGCTCGAATTTTTCACGGGCAAGACTCGGCGCTTGTTGCCCCCATTCTTTCGAAACTTCCTCTTTGCATACAATGTGTTCCCAAAACGATTTTCAAAAGCCAGGAAAATCGGTTTTCCCGCAGACAGATCATGAACAATTGCTCAAAAGAAAAGAGAAGCTCCATCCATATTAAGTGAATGAATGTGGACAGGGGTCAGGTATGTGTCTCAATCCGTATTCAAAAATCAGCTCGTCTTGAGTGCTATGCTAAATCCATATATGCTAAATATCAATGTAAATTTGCAGTGCTACGTCAACACAATAGCGTATGCATACTGGCATGTTCACTGTATGCCATTGAGAATGAATACATTTTAAAGTTAAAAAAAATTGCATTTACATTTAATTGTTTCGGGGCATATCTAACAATATGCGTGGAGTAAGGAGTCGTGTTGAGAATATGTGTAGTCTCCTCTTTCTATTATGACAAAAACAAAGAGCAGCATCATAACTCTTTCAGAAGTGAGTCTTTCAAAAAACCCTACCCTTTCAAGCCAAATGACATTAATGCACCAACAACCTGCCCAAGTACAGACCTGCCACTCCACTGGCCTCTAAAACGCTGGGGTTGTTTCCCTTCATCGTCTGTAATCCAACTTTCTCGAAAAGTAAAAGCTGTTATTCGAACGCCGTATGCCTTCGCGATTAGTCCTGGAAAACTAGAAAGTTCTCTATGACTCGCGCGTCCCAGCCGCTGGGAAATGAGAGTACAACGTGCAGGATGCCAGATGCGGCATTCCAAGATCTCGACCGGCAACCCTGTCTGAGCTGCCGCGAACCACCGCCCTCTTTCATCTCTCTATTATGGATCCGTCAGCCGCGAGGGCTGGAGGGGAACGGAGTCGCAATCGGGGACTGGCATCCCGAGCCGGGCTCTAGGCTGCGCATGCGCAGTGGATCGAGTACAACGTCGCTTTCGCAACTGCAGACAGACGGGATGTAACTTTTTAAAAAATAAAGAAAGAACGACAAAACCGATCGTTAAATCTTCTTTTTTTGAGATTCCTCATAATGGAAATGTCAGAAAGACACTAGAAGAATTGGAGTCGCTGAATAAAATTCATTTCATAAGATTAATTTATGATGGAATGCCGATTTTGATAGAGTTGAATAGAGTTAATGCCGCTTCATAAAGGGGTTCCATGGGAAATATAGGTTATAGGTAATTAAGGGGATTAAATGCCTAGATCTCAATTATGAAATTAATTTATACATATGATATTTATTTCATGTCTAATTATTTTTACATTGTTTTCAAAAGTTATGAGAGTACATATTCTCGAGCAAAATATGCATGTCTCTCTAAGAAACGTTTTTCAGAAAAAAAAATTCGTACACGTGATTAAATATATCAGCTTTCAGCAAAAAGCAGAAAAACTACTCATGTAAACACAACACATTGCCATATTACCAACCATGGAATTAAGTTGCTTGCCCTGAAGACCCCGCATACATGGGTCACACCACATGTATTTGTATTTTTTGAAAAATTACCTTCACACTTAAATTTTTAACGTTCCGGTAAAAAACTTATTTCATTGATAATCCTATTTTACATGTCAAATATGGTTTGTTTTAAAATAAATATTCCCTAAAGAATTCCTCCTTAACATTTATACTATCCAAATCTTACTAGGGTTTTCCTTATCGCACTTACCATTCAGCACAGGAATCGTGAATAAAAAATGGTCAGCAGGAGGAAGCAAAACGTTTTGGCACTACCTGATCGCCACATAGAGGTACTACCAAGTCAGAGGCGGCGGAGTACTCCGCTGTACGCACTCCTGAAGCGGGAGGGCTTCATCCCTGTTGGGAACGTTATATAACGCTCCTCTCTGGAAGGGGAAGGAGGAGATTGCAGGGAAGTTATATAAATGTAATTTTTTTTAACGTGAGGAGGCATGCGGTCGAGCGTGGCCTTAAGATTCTTCTTTTAATTCTACGAGATCATCAGTGCTTTCAGAGAAAAACTCTTAATATCCTCTTAAAGTCGTGAAGAATACATGATGGAGCCGAAGACCCGAACACATCCTTGCGAAGCAGGCCGCTCTTCATAATGCCTTCCAGAGTGGCCGAAGAACCTGCCAATAAAACCCCCCCCCCCCCCCGTCGCAACCGTTAATAGGATGTTCGCAGTCTCTCCTTCGGTTGCGTTAAAGTCAGGCGGGGAGCCGATGCGATGGGGTATGAAAGGACGGCCGTGCGGCCCTTCACGCCCGCATTTCCCAATCGACAGATTTATGTCTCCGTCCGTCTTCCTCGTCTCTGCGACAGTCCCATTTTCCACATTTTCGGACACGGATGAACCTCGAGAATTACGTGCGCGTGCTTGCCATTCACGTAGGATTACTGTAATGGAGTCCTCTGCGTGTAATTAGTCTCATAGCGTTGAGGAGTATAGGACGGCTCCATAGTGTCTGCCGCTTTTGTAATAGTTCTAATTTAATTAGTGCAAATGTGATTAATTATGTATTAGCGAAAATGTGCAAATGTGGAACTCATCACAGAAAGATGGAGATGCCTAAAAATTCGGGTTTTGCTCAGTAAAGAAGGCATATACACTTTGGATAAAAAAAGAAATTTATCGGGGAAAAATTGAAATATGCAATAATATCGAGAAATACAATTTTAATTTATTCAGAGATTTCCATGGAGTCATTTCCTAGCACTGTCTTTTTTATGGGCATGGCAAAATTTGCGCTTTCCCCAAGGGAATTCGCGAAAAGGCACGCACAATCGTGGGCTACGTACGTCGAAGCACGTCGATCGACTTTGAGAACTGGGTCGATGGGGGAAACCCGTTCGGTTTTTCGTCCTTTCGACTTTTCCGACTTGGGTCTTTCCGGCATTCCAGACCCGTGACGGGTATTCGAAACGTTACATAAGAGTCGGGCCGGTCTGGGCCCCATTGTGCTGGCGCGGTCGTCGGGTACAGGAATGCCCTGGGACGGGAATGAGCATTCCGATTCGTCGCCAGTTTCTCTTCCAGGTGGATGAAAAATGAACCCTTTGAGGGGGGAATGCGAGAAATCACTAAGACACAATGCTAAATTTGTTCATGCTAGCAGAGAAGTATTGTCGAGACTCTACAACAGAAGGAAATGGAAATGCGAAATAGCAAATATCCAAATTATGCGAATTCTTTAGAATATATTAATATATAAACGTTCGAAATTGAGACATATTCTTCAAAAAACCAACTAAACAGACTTAACAACCTGCACATATCTATAGGACCGGATCTTTCTGGTTAACTCCTCCCCTGTTTCTCAACCGATTTCCATCAACGATATTCGCTTTTTAATGTTTTTTTTTATATGTGCCAACTTCTTGAATATTATTTTTAAATTGACTTTCGACCTGACCCCGATGACCTTTCACATTAATTTTCCACCCGAATTCCAAACCGATACATCATTTGAAAACCCTTGACCTCTATTTGAATTCGTTTTTATATTGCAATAACGTTGGAATTTGATCCCTTGGTTTTCAAACAGATTTGAGAGTGTACTGACGCCATCTCTGTACATTTTAGATAACTGCTTCCAGACTACTGTACGACACCAGTTTTCCACATTATAATTCTCATCGAAGCTCACAGTTCTTATTAGTTGTACTGAGCATTTTCGTCCTTCTCTTCACCCGCGGGACTACATATCAAATAATAAGGGTGGGAATAGGGCGTGCAATGGTTGAAAAATGGATATGGATGCATTTGGAGACGCATCTTCACCTTTGCGAGTTCATTCCCTCCCTAAGAGATTCGCATAGCACTCTTGAGGGTGTGAAAATGGGTGATTAAAAAAAAATATTTTCTAAGTATTCAAGTTTTAACATCCCATTCTCGTACATATTCCAATGAATAGGGCATGTGCATTTTTTATTCAATATTCTGAAATTCAACGGTAACTCAACAAACTTCAAGTTCCAGGACGACCGCCCTTGTAGGAGATCCATTATCTATAATGTCAACAATGATCTGAAGTGTATCGCCGATGTTTTGGCAAAATGAGTGAAAAGAAAGGACAGGGTTCCAAAGACCTGAAGTAATTCTGAAATTGGCCCCTTGACCAGTCTTTGAGAGAGGTTCTTCAAGATAAATTGCAATCAAAGTTAAAAGCACTTAAACGATTTTCTACTACCTCAAACAATCAAAGAAGAAATTCAAATAAATGCGACAAATTGCTTGAGTGGTTTTAAAGTTTAGGGAAAGAGCAAGAATACCAAAACAATTAAGAAAAAATTTCATAAAATTAAAGTAAAAACAATATGCTCTTAATTTACATGGAAGCCAGGTTATCATGTTTAGATCATCAGCCTCAATTAACAATCTCATCACACTGAAGACTTGAGACATACACATCTGGAAACGAGTAGGTGTGTTTCCAACGATACGCCAAGGGTATCCATTCTTGGTAATTATCGTAACACGAGTAAGAGCTTACTTCACTGGCAACTTCTCATTTCACTATACGATTTTTTATTACCCCTCCATATAGAAAAGGATTGCATCTATCTGTTAAATCTGTCTACCTATCAAATATTTAGGAACAAGAGGAAGAAGAAAAAAGAAGTACTTGAAAATAGACTAATCATCTTCCAAAAATAAAACAAATGAGAGATTTCATGTCCCCATTATCAAGGAATTATTATTAAAGCAATCCCTCATGAAATGGCATATAGGAAACGTATAGTTATTTATAATAGGAAACCTATACACTTTGCTATCGGTTTTCGAAACACGAAAAACGGCGTGTAGTTACCACCCCATTTCCATACGACATATAAAGTGAGTATCCGAAGTACGTTTCACTACTTCTACTTCTTTTCTACTTCTACTCCTTCTATACCTGAAATGCCTGCTTCGCCTGTCTTTTTAAATGACCGCTTCTAGAGTGGGGCCGCTGGAAGTCATCGGGAGGAAATGGGACTCCAAGGGTTGTACGTGGGAACGCGAAAAGCTACCCTTTCTCCGCGACGACGAATAGCTCTACTCTCCCAGTGGCTCACAATCCCTCCGACTTATTCGAACCTTTAAGACCTGTTTCTTTTCTTCAGAAGGTGCCCAGCCGATCACCTTTTATGATGAATATATAATAAACTTGCTGCCTGCGGCCGCTACGCTGTCAGTCTGATGGGCGGGAATGTGAAAATAATTCAGACCTATAACGGATCCGTGAAATAGGTGTAGGTCCAGCATCTCAATGTAGTTATTATATCCACTACTGCTATCATAAATCCCATTGACTGTACATAATTAATGCCGAATATGACATTTTTCAGGCCACTGCATGATGAAGAATTTCCTTTTGAAATGGGGAAGTAACTTAATGGATACCCTGCATTTTTTCCCCAGAAGCTTCGGGGCAGATTTACCTGAAGTTCGATTACCTCTTATGAAATGTATTCGTGAGTAATTCGACTGGCATTCCCGAAGATCTATGAGTGAAAGAATCGGGGGCCGTTTGCAAGATCCGGGAAGCGTGTTTGGGTTAAGGGGATAACGATAACATCACCACTATCTTGCGACAGTTTTGGGAACCTTTTTGGTTAGCGTAACTGTCTTTCCTGCCATCTTTTTATGATTCATCATT